GATAGAGGCGTACATATTAATTAATAAATGTGAACTTTTCATCTGGATCATAAAATTATGGTTTTGCACTTGCTTATACAATATATTTACTGTTGTAAAGAAAGCTCAGAATATAAGATGAAAAAGACAAGAAGTATAAGATAGAGGAGATAATTTTCTTATTCAAGTATATCATACAATGGTGAATGATATCTCTATTTATAGTGCTGAGATATCATAGTCAAAGGTCACCTTGAAATTTTACATAGTTATCATCAAGGTTCATATCACCTTGATATCTTATCACATTGGAAACACTAATACATTAATCCAATTAATTGTTGGATAACTCTAATGGATCATCTACATATACAATGGATTTACAACACTCTCCCTTGGATATCCATAGATTATGTGCCTCGTTAAAACCGTACTAGGAAAAACCCAGTGGAAAAAAGCCTAGTGAAGGAAAAAGAGTACACATATCTCTTAATACGCTTTGAATGTTGCCTCGTTAAAAACCTTACCAGGAAAATCCAACATGGGACAAAACCATAGTTAAGGAAAAGAGTACAACGCATATTTCGCTCCCCTGATGAAAACTTTACTTGATATCTCGGAGACGACGCATTCCAATCTTGTATCTCAACTTCTCAAACGTCGATGTTGGCAATGCCTTAGTGAATAAATCAACAAGATTATTACTTGAATGAATTTGTTGAACTTCTATCTCACCATTTTGTTGAAGATCATGCGTGAAAAAGAACTTTGGTGAGATATGCTTTGTCCGGTCTCCTTTGATGTATCCTCCTTTCAATTGAGCTATACATGCAGCATTATCTTCGTACATTGTGGTTGGTATATTCTTTTTCAAAGAAAAACCACACATTTCCTGAATATGATGGGTCATTGATCTTAACCAGACACACTCTCGTCTTGCTTCATGGATGGCTATTATTTCTGCATGATTTGAAGAAGCGGCTACCAACGTTCGCTTCATTGATCGCCAAGATATTGACGTGTCTCCATATGTAAACAAATAGCCTGTTTGTGATCGAGCTTTATGCGGATCTGATAAATACCCTGCATCTGTGTAACCAATTAGTTCTGATTTGGATTCATTGGAATAGAATAAACCCATGTCCATGGTCCCTCGAAGATATCGAAGTATGTGTTCAACACCATTCCAATGTCTTTTTGTTGGGGAGGAACTGAATCTTGCTAGTAGACTTACTGCAAAACAGATATCTCGTCGAGTATTGTTAG